CCCCCGCCCAGCGCCGCGCGCCCGGGGACGGCGCTCCCCCCACCATGCGCCCGGTGCCAGGCCAGCCCCGAGCACCTGGCGGGTGCATGGAAATGCCCCCGCGGGCACCATGGCGCCCGTGGGCACCGTGTTGGGGACCACGGTGATAAGGGGTCTCGCTGCAGCTCTGCAGTTTAAATGTAGTAGTAGTTGGGCACGCAGGAAGCCCAGCTCTTACTACATTTAAACTGCAGAGCTGCAGGGGGGGTAAGTCCAGGACATGGTGCGAGGGTCCTGGACCACTGTGCCTCTGCCTCCCCTACCCCCACCCCATGGAGATGGTGTTGAGGGGAAACTGACTTTTAAGCTGGCTCTCCGTAGCACCAGTTCCTGCTCTCCCTCCCTGCCACCTCCCCCCCTGTCTCTGATACAGAGGCAGCAAAAGGTGGAGGGAAGTGAGTAGTGACTGGACTGCCCAGTAAGGCTGTCTAGTTGCTTACATCCCTAGTCTGCTTTCTGACATGTGACCTCTTGCTGCCATAGTTAGAATAAGATTGAAGGTTGGAGTCACATTCTCCTGTGGTCCCATATTTTGTCAGGTTTAAAATTGCTCACACTTAATTTGTTTTAAATATTCTCTATCAATTATCATTGCAATATTTTATTTTGTTCTCCAGATCTCGAAAGAAGCAACTTCCTAAGCAGTCATATAATGGCCTTTCAAGACAAACCACGAAAAGACTGGTATAGAATTCTTGGTGCAGAACCATCAGAGAGCCTGACAGAACTGAAACAGAAATATCAAAAGCTGATATTATTAGTAAGTGTATTTATCTTAATGCAAAAATAACTAAGTACAGTTTTCAATTTAAAAATTCTGTATAAATAGAATAAAGTATACTGAGTATTTATTTTGTTCATTGCAAAGTTCCAGTGCTTTTGATTATCTCGTGATCCCACAAAATGAAGTTACTTTCTCCCAACCCCATACATCCCGTTCCTGCAGGCAGTTTGGAAATAAACCAGTGTTGGTTGGATATGGTTCATGTGAACGAAAATACAAAAATCTCTTCAAACTTTCAAATTCTTTTCGCTTTTCCTCTTCCTTTTATAATCTTATCCTTCCTATATGATTTTTATTTTGTCACATTTCAGTGTTTGGCACATTACTGTTTGCTACTCAGAAAATCATTATAAAGTCACAAACATTGGATTGTAGCATCAATGAATAAATCAAGCATGAAGAGCAGGATTTTTGAGGCGGGGGGGGGGGGGGGGGG